AACAAAAAAATGCATATGGTTATAACAAAGGTTTATAGCATTTACACCAAACAGTAAATCAGAACAAGAAATAGATGATGAAGCCTTGGCTAGTGTGCCTTGGAAAAATTCAATTCACAATCTAGTACAAACTACAAAGTGTTAATGATAAGAAGTGCTCTTCCGTATTTTTTCCATGTCACATGCCTGAATTTACAGGGAAATAGCCGAAATTACGAGACTCCCTCTCTTCCACAGATGGCAGATGGAAGTCATACATTAACACAGAAATGTTAGAACATGAAATCACAACCCACCTAATTAAAGATTAATTAAGCAGACATGCTTATCTATTTTGGTTAATTGTATATGATTTCTCAGAGCAAACCTGATCAATGCTACCAGGTCCAATCAAAACAAGTGCCACACCAGATGCATCCATTATATCCTGTCAACATATGAAATGTGTTCAGGCAAGCAAGCTAGAGAGCCAGTACCCTTGTGTTGTGTTGTTTTAAGGCAACTAGGCATCTCCTATTTCTGTAATTGACAAGAATCCCATCCAATAATTACCATATAGTAAAACTTAGTCAAATTTGTAATGCATATAAATTTGCATCATTAAAATATAAACTAAACAAGTTGATGACAAGCATGTATCAAAGTCTATCCAGTGATAAATTATTAATGGGTAATTACCTTCTTTGATGCGAGATAGTCAGCCCGTTTGCGGCAAAATACGCATCTGAAAATTAAACAAAAATTTAATTTTTAACCTATTTAGCTAAACAATTACTAATCAAGAAAAACTTAGCAGAAAATGAAATTACTGAGCAAAACTTTATTGCAGATTATACTAGTTCAACTATTAATACTAGAACATTACCCGAAATGGCGGGCAAATGCGATGACAGCTGTCCTATCTTTCCACAAATCCGAAATCGGAATTCCATTTCCATTCAAATCAAACACCTTCACCGTCTCCAATAAACTCGCTGCATCTTCACCGTTCAAAGAAGACTCGGTCCCTGTTCACATCCACGCACGATTACAACAAAATAGATAAAATATGTAATTGTTTTCTTTTCCATCAGTTTCTCGGAAACCAAACAGGCTATTAGAAAACGAAAACTTGCCTGGAGAGCCAGAGACGGCAGAGGCTACGACGTGGCTTTGCCGCGGTGAGAATTTGATCAGTCTCTTGCAGCTATTGAGACTGCCGATATTCAGATTCGAAATTACAGGTGTCGAGGCGGAATTGGTGTTCCTCTTTGGAGGGAGTGAGGTGGAGTAGAGTGTTGCAGAGGGAGTAACCGCCATGGTTTCTCAGAGGAAAGAAGCAGCCGAGTAAGTGCCGACGTTACGACCGTTGGCGTATTTCATTATTTTATGGGAAACGAGGCTACACGTGGCAACTCGTGATCTGTCCCTTCAACAAAACATTACGAACGACAAGTCGTTTTCGGTATGATAAAAAAAAACAACGACGTTAGGGTTGCGCGGCATAAAACCAAACGCTTCTAACTTCCAACTAACTTTCTCAGTCTCTCTCCCATCTCTCTGCAAACTTCGGCATTTCAATGGCGGCGTTAACCCGCCTATCAAAGCCCTCGTTCACATCACTTTCCTCCGTCTCACGCATAAGCCGGTGCTTGTACTCGGGCATAGCACCGGAGCCCAGCTCTCATGGCGCTTCGCCATATAGCCCACGATTGGGGCCCAAGCCCAATCTCTCGGTCAAGGACCCCAAGGATCGAAACGTACAGTGGGTCTTCTTGGGCTCACCGGGCGTGGGCAAAGGCACGTACGCGAGCCGCCTGTCTAATCTCCTCGGCGTTCCTCACATCGCCACTGGAGATCTCGTCCGCGAAGAGCTCGCAGCCTCTGGGCCTCTCTCTAAAGAGGTTTTGATTCTTTTGATTGCTCGTTTCTTCTTTTTTTTTCCTCAGATCTGCATTTTTTTTTGGGTTTTGATTTTTTTTTTTTTTTGGTGTTCTTTGTGTGTGTGTTGCAGTTATCGGAGATTGTGAACCAGGGGAAGTTGGTTTCTGATGAGATTATAATAAGCTTGTTGTCGAAGAGATTGGAGGCTGGGGGAGCTAAAGGGGAACTGGGTTTTATTCTTGATGGGTTTCCTCGAACCATAAGACAAGCGGTAAGTGTCTTAGCTGTTATACACTAGTATTGTAGAGTAAGATTTGAACTGTATAATGTGATTCAAAGTAAGATGAAGCTCGTAAATTGATTATTCTTGGTTGGTTTTATGTGATCTGATTTAAACTATTTGTATTGATCAAATGAGTAATGGATTACTGAATTGGTGAAATGTGCTCAAGGATTGATTGTCTGTATGTGTGTTAGGAAATATTGGAAGGGGTGACAGAGATTGACCTGGTGCTCAATCTGAAGCTCCGGGAAGATGTGTTGGTTGAGAAATGCCTTGGGAGGAGAATGTGTAGTCAGTGTGGGGGAAATTTCAATGTGGCCTCCATTAATGTTAAGGACTCGAATGGGAGTCCTCCAATTAGCATGGCTCCGCTTCTTCCACCTCCACATTGTATGTCAAAGCTTGTTACTCGAGCCGATGATACTGAAGAAGTGGTTAAACATCGGATTCATGTATACAATGAGAAGGTATTTCTTTATTTTCATATCATGATTGACCATGGAAACAGTTGAATAACATATGTAAATACAAAAGGGCTTATAGGGAAAGTGCCTTCCATTATTTTCTAGTGCTGGTTGCATGCGTATTAGGTTCCTTTGGGGGAAGAAGAGAAAATATTTTAATTTCCATGTTGTATTCAAATGTCTTTTTGATGGTTTGTATTCCTAATGGATAATGCAGAGTCGGCCTGTAGAAGAATTCTACCGTAGTCGAGGGAAACTGTTGGAGTTTGATTTGCCAGGAGGGATCCCAGAGTCTTGGCCAAAGTTGCTTGAAGTTCTTAATCTTGATGAATACAAGGAGAAGCAGTCTGCTGCAGCATGATTTGTTGCATTGCGCCTTTAAAGGTGAATATGTGATTCTCTAGACGCGTAAGGTGCGAGCTAGGGTCTATGGACACTTTCAATTTTTGGTCTGTTGTTTTCTCGTGGAGAGAATTCAGTTATATTGCATTTGAAGAGAGTCGTTCCACTAGTATTGTTTGGTTTAGGGATGATTTATTTACTAACAATTTTGTGGCAGCAATAAGCTTCAGGAGAGGAGGCTAGATAATGATACCGTATTGTTGTAACTTATGATTGATTAATATAGCAAATTGCGTCTTGTGGGGCACAATAAATGAGGGAATTTTTTGATGGCCCTCAACTTAAACTTGTTCCTATTATTTCTTTTCATTTTTGCCCCCTGCGACTTTATAAATTTACTTCAGATAAGTTTGGTATAAGATGAGCCAATCATGCTAAGATATGTTATGGTTATGATACAGGTCCATTATGGCAAGGTCTTTGGTTGTTATATAGTTTTGTTCTTCTACCTATTCTTTTCCAGATTCCTCGTGCAGCTGGCCGAGTTGATTGGCTCAAGTACTGCCAATCAGCAAGTTATCAGCTGCAGATATTGAATTTCAGCACAATACCAGCTCTTGACTGCAGAAGTTTGAGCGGTGCAAGATAGAATGTGCTGTACATTTTACCGAAGTAGTTCCTTTTTTACTTGATGTGCAATTAGGTTATAGTGATTTTGTTGTAAATCAATGTGGTTAGACTATATGCATCATGATTGTGCGTGCGTTCCCCCACGTTGTTTTGAACTGTACAGTCGTTTGGTGATATTTTGTTGCTTTCACCGACAGCAGAAACCTTGAAAGAAAGAAAGAAGAAGAAAAATTGTAGAGAAGATTCGTGTTTAATTGTTGGTGTACCTTTAACCCTTATGGTTTTCTGGTTATGGCTGGCTGCATGTTGATAGCTACGTTGCATGCACTTCCTAGTGCTTGAACGCTGCCAATCTGTCCATGACAAAGATTGTACATGTCCTTGGAGTCGCATCTGTAAATTATTCTGAAGTTACAAAGTTATATGATCTATCTAACTTAAAAGTATATATATTTTTCCCTCATTCGAAATGTTCTCCAGCCCCCTCCCTCCCCTTATCCAGTTGTTATGGCCTTTTTTATATAAAAAAATCTGGTAAAGTTTCCTGCAATCGGCCAATATGATACCTTAAACAACTGAGCATCCCGCGGTAGAAAATCCAAACAGAGCATCCGGATTCATGATATTAAGCCTTTTTTCGATTCCATCAAAGAATAAAAGTGAAGCTTGACATTTTTGATAAAGAACATTAGAGGCTGATCTGTTATGCGAAACCCTGAATTCTGTGTCACACGCAATGAATATTCCTCCTCCTCAACCTCATCCGCGCACTTCATGTTTGTTCCGGCATCCATTTTCTCCACTGGATCATGATGCATGGTTCCAAATGAAGCAATGGTTTTGTGGTGTCCGTTGAGAAGGATCTCTGTAAATCCATGGAATCGCAATAATATACTTATAGCCCAAAAGCGTCTCCTCAAGAATATGAGCAAGCTCTTTCAGACCACAGCTTTCTCTCCTCCACATAATTTTCCACCACTTCTTTATCTTTTGGCATCTTCATAGTTGGATAAGATTTGAAGGCAGTAGGGCCAGTTCCCAAAAGAAGATAAATATACGAGGGATATTCTACAAAAGGTAAGCACTATCCAGCAGGCTCTGTGCATGAAAGCTCAGAAAAGTCAATTTGTATGGGTTGTCCTTTAGCCAAAAGTACACGGTGACAACTTGAAGAGGCTCCTGCGTACCATTTTCTGAAAATTTATTATTATTGTTAGGAAGATATCTCTATCCAAAATATTAAATTATGAAATATAGAAACAGTAAGTGGGATGCTGAAAATAAAATTATAATGGATTTGTTGAGAGTTATATGATCTTAGACTTAATCCGTGATTACCCAAAAGTTCAAATCGGTTAAAAAATAATGCAGTGCAGTCCATTCTAATCTAACTTTTAAATAATTTGAATGCAACGGCGCTTGTAATTTAAGTGTTTAACAACGTTCATTGCTACACATGAAATCATGATTCAGTTTTAGGGCATAAATTAATAACTTAAATCAACAATGTTGACAAGGGCATTTCCACATAATCATATATTTAACCATCGTGAAACTTAAATGAGACACATAAATTATATATAAAAAATGTTAGCATTACCTTTTGATTAAAAAGAATCTCATAATACATCCTATTTTAGTTTATGACTAGTAAAATTTGAAACCGATGAACTTTTTGAGAAGAAGGCAATTTAACTATTGGACAAAAAAACCAAGGAAATTACTTCTAGCATATCAAGATAGTTACCATGCACTCCTTTTTATTTTGTCTTATTCCATGAAATGGTGCACCGATGATTAAGTTTGAATGCCAATAACACTTTTCATAAGTGGCAATATAAATCAAAGATTTTTTTTTTTTTTAGGATCTTTCCTATTGAGAAGAGCGATAATATGCTAAACTCTCACCTATTATACAAATACTAAAACTCGAAACTAAAACCTTGTAAAATGGAGCAATTGCTCTAAACCGCTAATAGTGTTGTGTTCTTTGCAAATCAAAGAAAATCTTAACCCAGGCCCCAAGTGTTGCTTGCAAGTTGCAACACCTTATTTAGATATTTGAGGATATTTTTTACTCGTATGACGTGCCAAATATTCAGACTCAGAAAAGCAAATGGCCCAAGCGTGTGGACAACTAACGAAAATTTAACACGTCACAACCGCCACTTCCACCAGTACCAACCACATGGAAGATATTTGGCGAGTAGGTAATCCACGAAAGCGACGTTTCCCCTTCCGGTACTCGCCATCCAATATCGCCACGTGTCGCAAACCAGATCTCCGAGATCTTCAGAAGTGCCAAGCGAGCCCTTGCACTCACTGCTTTAGATTTCGTCCACCTCAGCAGGCCTCGGCCCCATTTTCTGCCAAGCTGGAAATATCTCGCATCTGACATGGCGTTCTCGAACGTTCTACTTCTACTGCATCTCCACCCTTATTTTGTCCACATCATCAGTCGCTGAGCTCATCTCGCAGCTCCATATCTTTTACTCATCTCTCTCTCTCTCTCTCTCTCTCTCTCTCTCCCCCCTGGACGAAAGGATCGCCGATTATCTCTCTCGTAACTGTTTGCAGTCTGATGTTTCTTAGTCCAGTCAAGCTTGTCCCAACTCTGCAAAGATAGTACAAAAATATCTAAGAAATATCCAAATTCACATATTTTTTGAAGATCCAAACTAAGATTTTCGGAATTATTGTTTGACCATTTTTTTTTTTTAGTACAATGATTTTCTTGGTAATTTCGGTTTGGATCTAGCTCAATTATGGCGGTTAATGAAGCTTTGCAGGTGATTTCTTCCATGTTACTTCTTTGATTTTATACTTCTCTTCTCTGTTTTTGTTTTTTTGTTTTTTTTTTTATTGCTTTGAATTATATATACTTGGCTACTCTGGTTTAGATAATTTGAAGCTCATCTAGGTTCATCCATATCATTTATAGTTGTTGAAGATAGGTGCTATGTGAGATTTTTAAATCATCATTTCTGTTGATTCTCTGCATCTTTCAATTATTTGTAGATTAGTAGTGTTCCAAGTTCTCAATTTCAAATTGTTCGGATTTTTTTTAAAAAAAATTGTGCATACTGGTATCATCTTATCTTTAAAAGAAAGAATTTGATGTTAATGCTTTATGGTGTATTTTTTTTACTGATATGGTGTTCTGGTCTTACAGGGTGAAAGCAATTTGTTGGGTTTCAAGCCATTTTTAGCCAGCTAACAACATCTGGTGTAAATTGTCATCACTTGTATATATATTCGGTTATGGGTTATCATTTGACATCACTTTGTAACCGGTGAATACCCATTGTGTTAGGTTTAGAAGGGTCTGTAGTTGCAGAGGTTTGGTTTTTGCAGCCAACGCTATGCGCCATTCTTTTTCCCGATTCAAGAAGTTTTTTTTTCAATCTGAACTTGGGCCGTTTTTATTACTAGTCTTTTGTCTGACTGATAGAGTATCCTGATGAGTGTTGATAGTGATGAGGATAGGCAACTGCTGGAGCTGAATCACCGTTCATGGGACGGGAAGGAAAGGGTTAAGAATGGAGTGGTGGATGAGGAAGGAAGGTTAGTTGAGGAAGATGAGTCGAAAAGTAATGGAATAGCTGGAGATGTAAACGGTGGGGAAGGAGGGGGTGTTCAAGTCCAGGCTGTTAAGCAACAGCCTCAAGGGTCAACGGTTTGCTGGGAAAGGTTTCTACATGTTAGATCTCTTAAGGTTTTACTGGTGGAATATGATGATTGTACTCGCCATGTTGTCACTGCACTGCTTCGAAATTGCAGTTATGAAGGTTAGTGATTTGGCTTCTGAGACACCTAATGCTTCACATGCATGACTATATCCAGACACTGCTGTTTATGAAAAAGTGAATTTCGGGTTGAGTTTCCTGTTAACTTGACTTTCAGGGTTCACATGTACAAGCTTTTGTATTTTGTCGTTTTTAATGTGGATGCTATGATCTTTCATGCTTGATATGCTTTTGTGATTACTGGAAAGCATAGATGTATATGTTGTTGCATTTGAAAAAAAAAAAATAAAAAAAATAAATGTTAGTTTTCCGTCATTTGCAAAATACATGATATCTGTATCCATATATCTCTTTTATTTCACATGCACACACACAAATATCATATATTTACTTGGTGCATCAATTACATCCTTTTTGTATATTTATCTTTTAAAATCCAGGATTTGATTCTTAATTCTTCGTATTTTCAGTGATTGCAGCAGCAAATGGATTGCAAGCATGGAAGATTCTTGAAGATTTGACTAATCATGTTGATCTAGTCTTAACTGAGGTAGTTATGCCATGCTTATCCGGTGTTGGTCTTTTAAACAAGATTATGAGCCATAAGACGAGGAAAAATGTTCCTGTGATTAGTAAGTTTTTTTATTTTATTTATTTTTATGCCCATCTCAATAACAGTTGTATTGAGTAGTGATACTCTGTTATAAGTTTTGAGTTATGCCAGCTTAGAAACTATTTTGAGATTTGTGTGCAGTGATGTCATCTCATGATTCAATGGGTCTCGTCTTTAAGTGTTTGTCAAAGGGTGCTGTTGACTTTTTAGTGAAGCCTATACGAAAGAATGAGCTTAAGAACCTCTGGCAGCACATTTGGAGGAGATGCCATAGTGTGAGTCATTATGACTTTCCATTCTGGTATTAGAATGCTTGCCCACAAGTCTTTGTACTGCTGTCAGTTCTTTGTATTTTCCTATTTTTTACCTTCATCAACCGATTATTAAAAAGTAGTTTTCACTTCACATGCTTTACTTTTCTCCTGTTTTGTGAAGGGTCTTTTTTTTCTCTTGAGATTATTGTTGAGCAGTGCCGTTGTTAATGAGAAGACCTTTTTATTTATATGATGATATTACATAAGGTTATATTAAATATGTTTGCTTAATGGTTAGTAATTTTGTTTCACAGTTTATATTATGTTTCTTAATTTTCTTTGTATGACTAGTATCTAAACTTTCTTTCAGTCTAGTGGTAGTGGAACTGGAAGTGAAAGCGGCACACAAACTCAAAAGTCTGTAAGATCAAAAAGTGTTGCAAAGTCTGAGAACAATAGTGGAAGCAATGACGAGGAAGATAATGAGAGCACTGGTTTGAATGTTGGAGATGGAAGTGACAATGGGAGTGGCACTCAGGTATGCTAGTTATTGGATACTAATGATCTTGGATGGTGCATGCCCATTATTTGAATTTTCACATTAGTCAGGAGAAGGGAATGTATACTCCTCTCAATAGAATAATTGCAGCTTTACTTCTTTTCGGATGTGTGCATCAGTTACTCTTGTTTTGCAGCTCTTATTCTTAAGTTGCTAAAGGGATTGATAATGCTGGTCCTGCTGAGGATAGCGTATGATTTAATTCTTTTTAATTGAATTGTAAGTGTTTCTGTATTAGGTTTTCAGAAACTGATGACGGGTTTACTATCCTGTAAG